TGGGCTGAGCTGGACTGAGCTGGGCTGAGCTGGGCTGAGTTGGGCTGAGCTGGGCTGAGCTGGACTGAGCTGGGCTGAGCTGGGCTGAGCTGGGCTGCCCCTTTCCAGTCAGCACCATGGCAGAAGCCATGTGATGGCCAGGCTACGGAGAGCGGCACTGCACCTTTCGGAGGTGTCAAATGAGGTGGCTTCACAGCTTGCTCCTCCCTGTGAAAAAACCTGCAGAAAGCTCGTTTCCAGGTAGAGCCCCATGGTCTCTGGCTATTTACACAACAATTAGAAAGCAGCATCACTCTAGAAACCTTGATTTGTAAAGAAATCAAAGTACCTCTGGGGGCTCACTTGGCAGGAGCAGTTGGAGAGAAAGCATGTGTTGGTTTCTGCTTTCTCCTCCTTTGATCTCTGAACAATTGGGAAGGAAATCTGAGTGGTTTGGTACAGCAGAGACTGGAAATGTGAGGTGCCAAGAGCTCTGAGGTCCCACCAGGCAAGCGCACCATGGACCCTTGAGCTCCTTGGCCAGACTCCCACTTCACCTTCAGCACCTTGCAGCTCCCTGGCCCTGTGGGGCTCAGCAACCCCACCCCAACCCTGTCAAGTCCTGTGAAGCTTCCCAGGATGCTAATTCCAGCCCAAAAAAATTAACTCATCTGATTTATTGGAAAAGAAGCAGTCAGAGGAGGCACCACAAGCATCACACTGGGTGTTTGATCAGCCTGAGCAGGGAGCACAGCCCAGCTGAGGGCTGAGACAGTTGGAGGCATCCTGGGAGGGGTCTGTGAAATGACAATGACCACTCTGCACAGAATTAGGGTTTGGAAAACACAAATACAACACGTAACATTTGTGGCTGTGCATCTGTTTTGACAGATTAAAATGTAATTCAGGACAAACCACCAGCGCGTAGAGCGCTCAGCTCTCATCTTCCTCCTCTGTTCACTTGACGGAGATGAGATCGTCTGTCTGTACCTGCTGCAGCTTCTCCAAGGTCTCTACGGAGCACTCCTGCTGAGTGCTGAGCAGAAACCACCCCAGGGACCACTTCTAACAGACAGACTTTTTGTCTACAGGATCTCCTGAAAACCTCCCTAAAGACCATGTACTCTCATCTTGGGTTTCTGTACAGGAACAACATCTGCTTATTTCTGCACTCCCATAAGTGCAATCACTTTCAGTATCTTTCACTCTCCTGCCTACCTGGCCACCAGAAACACCTGACAAGCTATGCTGCCTGGTCTGACCACCCCACACAGGAGAATGGACAGGCACAGGTATCTCCCCAGAAATCCCTTTGACATCCCAGCCAAAGCCCATTAATGTTAAAGCAAATCTTACTGTCCCTTCCCGCTCCCAGCTCGGTGCTAAATGAAATGTGTGATGTGCTCAAAGGACTGTTTTGATGAGGACTGAAAATCTCACCTGGTAGGAAGTCATCAGGTAAAGATAGGTGGGATCAGAAGGGTCAAACTGCATGATGGGGTGGACAGGCTCTCCGTAAGCCACAGAAATGGATCTCCTGCTAATAACCTTCATGGTAGTGTCCAGGTTAATCTGTAGTGAGAAGAAGCCACTAAGAAGACACTCACTGAGACCATTTTTCAACCACTGGAGAGATGATTATTTCTCCTTGGTATAAACAAGAATCAAAGTGGTATCCAGCACAGCCCCACATTGTCAAGCACTGTAAATCTCTGCACACTTTGCAGGCTGCACACATAGAGCTTTCCTGGAAAGCCAGCTCTGTGCCACTGAGCAGGCACACACTGTGGCCCAGAAAGCCCCAGTCCTGCTCAGGGACACAGGAACTTCACCGCCTGTTTGAGTGGCTGCCTGGAAAGCTCCTGGCCTGAGGTTCTACCCCTGCATGGCTGCATCCAGCACCCACAGCAGCACTCCTCAGCTGTGTCCAGCAGCCACAGCAGTGTTCCTGGAGTTACCCTAATGCAAGTGGCACCAACCTTCAGCCCCCATCACATACATATGCACATTTCTGTACAGAAAACAGTGAGTTTTGAAAGCCTAATGAAAAACAGTGAAAATCAGCAACAGGGCTGTACAGCATGGCATCCCCTGCCCCCTGCATATTTGAAAAATAAGTGTTGTCACAGCCAGCCAAAAGAAGCTTCTATCCCTGCTGATTCCAAAAGACCACAGCATCTGCCATGAGAGTACCAAGTCCTACCTTGCCTCATGAATCACCAGCTGAAGCGTTGGTAGTGATGGAGAAGGCTGCACAGCATCAGCCCTTTCAGATCTCTGAATGTCTTGGTGGCATTTGACTTGAAAACTCAGTAAATTAAATGTGGCATTGCTGAGAGGAAATAACAATGGGGCTACACAATTTCTCGTGACAGTCACTTTTCAGTTTAAAACAGAAAGGGAGTGAGGAAAATTCCTTCCTTCTTACTAGCAAGGGAACGCAATAATCGTAAGGATCAAGTGTGCCTCTCCTCTCTAAAGTCTGGATTAATTAATTAACATAGGCTAATTAATTTGTACAGTAGAGCAGCACAGACATGCCCCAGTAAGACAGCACAGGCTCAAAGCACGGGCTTCTCTCTGCTAAGAACCATATGCAAGCATTGCAAGCTATGCAGAAAAAGCAGGGAACTGCCATTGTGCCCATTTGAAAAGCTGGTTAGCCAGAAGCTAAATGATTTCCCTAGGATCATCCAAGATGCCCACAAACCAAGCCCTGACACCCTCCACTGCAACTATCCTCTCTACCTTCCTGCTGAGATGTGCTCCACATGTGGCTGTTTCCAGACGCCTGCCCCTCTGTCCCTCTGCCTCCCGGGCACATTCACCCTACACCCTCTCTATGCAGGCACTTTCCCTGGATCCTGGGGGGCTGCAGACCCTGCAGGAGAGCCCCCACAGCAGCACGGAGGGGCAGCAACCACTAGTCCTCCTGGTGCAGCAGGCTGGGGCAGGCTGGAGGACACGAGCTGCCCTGGTGCTGGTGGGAGCAGAGTGGGTGAAGTCCTGCGTAACCCCACCACAGGACTGTATCTGTCTGTGGCCTTCCAGACCTGAACATGTGGGGAATCACCAGGATAGACCCCTCCTACCCGCTGTTCCCCTCTAGGGCACTGCGCCGTGGCACATCTCGCCCCAGCCACGCTGCCCAAGCACTGCTGTCCCTCTCATGACTGCTGGACGTGCACTGGCCCTCGCCAAATGCCTGTCTGCAGCCACAGAATCAGATTAATTTCCCATACGTGCCCCCGGCAGCCCTAATTGCTGCTGGCAGGAGCTGGGTGAACACTATTTCTGCCCCTCTGCTGTCTTTTCTCAGGCAGCAAATCTGAATGATAACTCACACAAAGTATCTTGTGTCCCGTGCCAAAGAGCAAGGAGCCCCGAAGGTAAAAGGGCTTCTGGTTATGCAGCTGTGTTGTAGAATTAGATTACAGCTATCTGAGCAAATTATCCCAGCAAAGGGTAGCCAGGAGCCTCTCCCTAATGGAGGCACCGCAGATAAGGCTGCTCTCTCCGAGATGATAATAGAGAAGAGCTGTTAATGCCGTGTGAACAGGCTGCACTGCGTGTGGCATGTGCCCTCCAGCCCACTACGCCCAGCTCGGTGCCAGGTCCCTCCCACCTGCCCAAATTACCTGCCCCTTTGGGCAAAAACCAAAGCAGGGAGTTCCTTTGTGATTGTTCCCGCACTTCTGCCAGGAGCATATGGATGCAAGGAGAGAGACTGGATCAGTTTGCCTCTCTGCAAGCATTTTGATCCAATATCCCACATTACGCACCACTCACTTCAGGCTGAGATAAAACAGGTATCAGCTGTCTCTGGGGGAAAAGCTCCAGGGCTTTTCTCCTTCTCCTCTACAGACTTTTAATTCTGGGAATACACCAAATTGCTGTGACTGCCTGGAATCAAAACTTTCTTTGGCAAACTCCAAGCACTAAAGTTACTAAAGCTTGGCCTTGCACCTTGGCTCTGGAGCTGGGGCATTGCATCGCCCTGCATCACCTCTGGCACATAATTTAGAACAGACTCCACCATGGGTTCACACCTGCTTCAGACTCAGCTGTGAGGAAGCATCTCTTGGTGATTCCCCTGCCTACACAGGGTCTTCAAAAGCCAGCAGTTCAGAAAGAGAATTTATTAGAAGAGCTGTTAATAATTAAACGCTGCACAATAGCACTCCCAGCACAGGGTTCAACAAGAACATCCTGCTCGCATGGCAGCCCTGAGCAGTAATTAACAGCCACCAGTCACCAGGCAGTGTGTATCACCGTCCAGGTTGTAGCAGTATCCAATGACTTCATCACTGCCTGATGGGAGCAGGTGCTCAGACCAAGTCGACAACAGATGTTCGTCCTCTGGGCAGACCGATGGTGCTGGAAGGGGAGGCCCCGACACCCTGCCCTGTCCCCCAGCCCTGTGCCCCGTACCGGTGCTGCCAGGCCCTACTTACCTTCAGGAGTCCTCCACTGGCAGTGCCCAGGAACACAACAGTGTAGTTGTTGACGCTGGCCACCGCCACCGCGGTCAGGCCGCTGTAAGTGAAGATGGGGGTGGCTGTGATGGGGTTCACGATGGCCAGCGGGTGCTGGAGGTGTGCTGCTCCACAGTCCAGCTGCTCCGGCTGCAGCTGGGGAGAGACACAACTGTCACTGGGCTGCACAAACGTCAGTGGGTTCCCCCATCATCCCCCTCAGGTACAGCAGGGTCAGACTGCTGAGAGCCCCGCTCTGCCCTGCTAAAGCCCCTCACTGCTGAGTCACAGAAAAGTAAAAAGTGGCCCTGGCAGATGAGCTGCTTGCAAGGGCTAGCACGTGGGGCATGAGGCCAGTGTAGGTACTCCCATGTCGACTCACTGTCAGGTGCCAAGGGGCAAAGGCAGAGGACAGTGGTTAAGGACCTGCCAGTAAGCCGTGTCTGTGAGCAGGCATTTGGCTTGTTTGGCACAAAGCAAGACAACAGACTTGACTCTTCTATGCTAACTTAATAATTGAAATTTCTGCATGGCAGTAGCATTTGGAAGCAGGACTTAATGCTTTATATTCCTCCTACCCTGCCAAGACACACTCAAGATTCATGACCCCTCTCACCTCAACTCCTCTGAGATTCTCATGTCATTCCTGCTCAGACAACTTGGATAGATTCAACAGCTGAACTCTGCACAGTCTCACTGCCGACAATTCACCTGCAGCAGGTGCAGCTGGAGCTGTTCAAATGACAGGCGCGTTTCAAGGGCCATTACCACATCACCAATGGTGTCATCCCAGGTTTAGCCCAAGAAAGGCCGTGCCTGCACTGTAATCCTCCCTGCAGCAAGCAGTGGTGGCAGGGCTGGCACTGTGGCAGTAGCAGTTATCCACAGGCCACCTGTGCCCAACCCAGGCCCTAACTGTGGGAAGTGCTGGTACAAAATTCCAGCAAGAGACACCTGGCAGGGTGCAACTCACAGCCCGAGGGTGAAGCATGTTTATGCCTTTCTGAACCCAGCCACAACACTGATAGCCTGGCCACAGAAACTGTCAGGAGTGTGAATTTAAGCAGAACAAATGCAGGTATTTGAGGCTGTATCTGTCAGGGAACTGGACCATATGCCTCCACCAGGCAGAAGGTGACCACCAGCCTGTCCAGAACAGTCCCTCCCCCCTGGGCTGCACCACAACCTTGATGCTATTCCCTTGTTATCGTTACTATTTCATCAATGGAACCAGGCTAAACCTTCAGCTCTCTCCTCTTTGCAGATGGTTCAAAAGATTAAGCAAATCTTTAGGTTTTGCAGCAAGAGTAAGAGGACCTCCCCTCCTCTGCCTGGACCCCACTTTGGGGTGCACCTCCTCCCTCATGCCCGTCTGCCCCCCAGCCACCACCATGTATCTTGGGTTGGTGCAACCCATTCCTGGGCAGAAGTGGGAAAGAAACATGTTAAAACCCAAAATGTACACAAAGCGAAGGTGCTGTGCCTGCAGGAGTGAGAGATGGTGTCCCCACACTGGCGGAAAGGAAGAAGCCTCCACCAGAACCCCACGGGGCTGGTGACCTCTCTGCCATGGCCACAGCCCACCCAGGGGTCAGTTGGTGTGGGGACCACAGGCCATGGCACTGCCCGCTTCTCCTCTTTTTGTGGGAGAGGACAGGAGCAAACCCCAGCGGGAGCAGTGGGTGCCAGCCAGCCCTGGGTGTGTTGTAGCACAGGCTACCTGGGTACCCAGAGCTGTCACACCCCACAGCATCCTCTGCACAACAGCATGTGCCTCTGATTGCAGAGACCGTGCTGCTGCAGACACATCCAGGGCTCACATCCCTGCTGCTGCATCAGCACAGCCACGCTGCAGCCAGTGACAGGCTGGGTCCTCTTCAAAAAACCACCCTGACCTTGGGTCCCTGTGCCCCAGCAGACACTGGACCCCGTGGCCACCACTGGCTGCATCCGACATGGAGTAACAAAGTGAAAAACTTGCCCTGCTCAGACGACTGCCAAGCAGGAGGCAGCACATTCACAGCTGCACTCCATTCATAGGGGGCCAAGACAAAAGGAACAAGTTTATGGATGCAATGCTAAATGCGTTTTGCAGTTTTATCACATCTCATTCTATTAAAAAATTAAATCACAGCCCAAATCCTTAAGAGTATATATTTGGGTGACACTTTTTTTATATCATATAGACAACACAGCAAGCCATTCATATTTCTGATTCAATGGTTCCTTCCCTTTGCAACCAGACCTTTAGAAATGCACTTGGGTTTATTTATTTGTCTTGGGGATCATGAACTCCAGCCACTCTTCACTGGCCTTTACCAATATTCACCACCTGAAACTCACAAAGCTCCTTCCTACTGGGAAACTGAGGCACAGAGGCACCTCCAGCCAGCTGGGATCCCAAGGGATACTCGGCACCAACTCTCCCCAGAGAAGCACAGGAGCCCGAACCGGCATTGCTGCCTGCTGGACACAGCCCTTTCTTCTCACAGGTGGCCAAAATCACGGGAAGTCCCTTATCTGCAGCGCCTGCCTGCTTATAAATCATGTATTTCAGAGCTCATATCAGCGCAAAGTGTTTTCCACAGTAAACAGGATGTAACTATTATAACCCAGGCCAAGCTTTATTTTGGCTGCACACATCCTTCCTCCGAAACACCTTTCTTCAGATGACATCAGTTCTTCCAACGGATGGATGGGCAGCAGGAGACATATGGTATTTCCCTCTGCCGTGTCCCAGGGAGGGATGACATGCTGTGCTGCTGCTGCCTGTACCCCACAGCACCAAGGGGACAGCTTAACTCCCTCATGTTACAGTAAACAGGATACGGCCAAGTCACATCCTTCTGCAGGCACCAGGCAGCCACCACAGCTGGGGAATTGCACTGGATGTTTGGGATAGAACACTTTCTCCATGCGGAATGGCTTAAATCTTGCTCCATCTTAAATCAAACTGCCCTTCCCTGACATGGGGAAAGCACAAACATTAAGTTTTCTTCCAAAACCAATCTCTTCCTATAATCTGCATTTTAAAACACCTCGTGGGCATTTACTTACTGCCTCTGTTTTTCTGTGACATGCTCTGGGTACTCAGCATCTTACAGAAATATGGACTGTCTAGATCCGAAACCTTCTGCACCCAAAACATTTACTCTGCCTCTCTGATGCTGATGATGAGCCTTCTCAGGCACAAGTCAGGGACAGCCACAGCCAACTCTGGCTGAGCAGCACCACTGTCACCCCGCACACTGCGAGGAGGGGGACACCCTGTTGTGCCCCTACATGCTGTGACAAGGAAAGGGCACACACTGCTGTGTCCCCACAGAATGTAAGGAGGGGCACACACTGCTGTGCCCCCATACACTGTAAGGAGGGAGGGGCACACACTGCTGTCACCCCGCACACTGAGATAGGTGGTATCGCTGTAAAACTTCACAAGTGATGCAAATTAATTCAAACCGAGGGGCCACAGCTAAGAGGATGGTTAGTCAGATTAACCCATGAGTGCAATTGCAAAAACAAAGTAGGACAAAGACAAAAGATCTCCAGCCACATCAGAGCTCAAGAGTTAGTTGTCATCACAGTGTGAATTCATTTCTTTATCCTAGGCCTAAAAGAAACAGAAAAAGCGATTTCCCAGAATTTCCATTACAGCTCCCCAGCCCCGGGCACACAGGATGTCCCTTCGGGAAGGAAGTCTGCTGGAAACAGAAGGAGGAAGAGGAGTGGTGAGGCAGCACTCAGGAAAACCATGAAATGCGCTGATTTCTGCATCCTGTGTTTGTAACCTTAAAAATAGTTCTCAAGCGAAGCTGGAGCTAATTTGTGACTCAGAAGTTGCAGTGCAAGGAAAGCCCTGAGCCCTCGCCCTCCACGAGGCCGTGCTAGCTGTGCTGCAGTGGCTCCAGAGCTCTGCAGCGAGGAGAAGGGGAGCCCAGCCCCTTTCAGATGTCATATCAGAGGGGATTAAAGTGTTGGCTTCCAGCATGCCTGGAGTCCTGGGAAAATGACACAGCCAGCATCCGATAATCCGCTCCAAACTTGTTGATTTGTGGGACTTACCCATCATCTTCACAGGCTCAAAATTTGGCAGCTGCTCCCACACAACTGACATTTTCAGGACATTAAAGGCTGTGATAAAAGGGCTCTAGTTTTATCTCTTGCCTTCCTTAACATAAACCATTAGGCTTTTATTAACATTTAGGTATGACTCAGGGAAATCTTTGACTGCAGAGAGAATATTCAGAATAATTTGGATACTGTCTGAAGAGAATAGCAGGACATGGACTCACCCTGAACAGTAGGGAGACGCTAAAAACCTGCGGGGAAATATTGCACAGGAGAACAAAGCCAGAGACACCAAGGCAGCCCAGCTGCATTACACAGAGTACAAGCCCTGCTGTGTGTCGGACAGAGCCCAGACCAGCTGTGCACCCCCAGCAAAGCCCATTTACCCCCCAGAACCTTCCCATCCCTCAGTAGTGTGTACACACAATCACGCGTTTATCTGCTGGAGTGTCGCAGCCAGACCTGTCAGAAACAAGTTTCTTGGGATGCCGGGAGCAGAATTTCATCCTCGGAAGAGGACTCCACTGTTGAGGCACTTGAGATGTAAGCAGTCTCCACTGCAGTGCTGCTGCAAGGGCAGGCATCAGCACAGAGCTCCTCAGACTTCCCATCATATTTCTTCGGCAACAGGAGGCAAATCAGTGTGCACTTGTGGCACACTAAGAGTGCACAGTAGAGGCACTTGGGCTGAGAACCTCCAACAAAGTGAATCTGGGCAAAGTTTTTCAGTCTGCTGTGGTGAAGCCAAAGCCTGGCAACAGCTTGAACAACCATGGGGTCCCTGCAGCCATCCAACCACCTGCTGCCACGTCACCTCAGGTGTGGGAGGGAAGGACAGAAGGATCTCTGGCAGAAGCCTTCCTTGGGGTGCTGGGGAGTATGAACGGGCTCCAAGGAGCCCCCAGAGGCTCCAGCCTCAGCTCCAGCAGTGGCACTGAAGCTGGATGCCTGCAGCTGACAGTATGATTCCCCTCTCAGTCTCTTCTGCCCCCTCCTTCAGCCACAACTGGCCCAGCTTGTGGCCACCATCACCCAAACCCGTGATGCTGACCCCAACTGGAAAAGAAAGCTGAGGGCAAAGAGGACAG